ACATAAGGTGGTCCCAAAGAACAAAGAGCTGAGACTCTACTTATGTGGTAGACATTTTCATCTTTGAGTAAAGTTGGTGGGAGCCGAGGACACTGAGCATCTGTCTATTTTTGAAGAGGGCTATGGGGTGTGACATGTGAGTATCTTCCAAGAGTGTAGTAAGTGATGCATCCCATGGGGCTGCTTTTCACATCCTTTCATTTGGAGGATGTTGTGTTTCGGCCTTTGCAGGGCTGTGGGCTGGAAAGGTTGGGAATCATACTTTCCCTGCAGTGGGGTCTGAGCTATATGACGGTACCCCCAGGTTGTTCAGCAGCTTAGCTGACTTGAAATAGAACACTGGAACAAAATATGTTCTGAGTGATTTTTAAGTAAAAGCTAATGTGAAAATGTGGGAGTTTGAACCAATGTAAACACATTAAATTTAAAACAATTTTCAAACGTAGTAAAGAAAAAAATAGTGTTCCTGCTCTTGAAATTCCTAAAGGACACATTTTTCCTTCTGAGTCATGGTTTAATTAGATTATATTTTATTAGACATTCTTTACAAATTTTAAAATACTGCTATTATACATGCACAAAGGAAAATCAGTTTGAACAACTGTATGTAAGCATTCATTGAAGTCAACCACAAAACAGGAACATTTTATGTCAGTTATCAATGTACTCGATATGTATATCTAAAGTGCATTATGTTACAAAAAATATAGAAAGTCAGCAGCACCAAGATACGGTCACAAAATAAATACACCAGTCAACAAAATAAATTATGGTAAATGTGACAATAATAATTGTCTTAGCCTTAGCAAAAAAAAAAAAAAAAAAGGAAAATTCACAATAACCAAATGAACCAAATGTGCAGTTTAAGAGAGCAATGGGGGAAAAAAAGGTTTTATTCTGAGCATTTACAATATTTACAGGTAATAAATATTTTAATACTTCCCATATGTTTACTATTACAGAATACTGCAATACGTCTTCCAAAAATCTCTTGCTGAAAATGTCAGCGCCTCCTGCAAAGAAGAAAAGTACAGAAAAAACAAAACCATTATTTTCACTTTGAATGCCTTGCTAATAAACACTTGCAATAATAGGGCTGGTTTAACATGCTACAGTTTTAGACATCTTTTCAAGACCTCTACTCTATTTCACTCAATGCAACTCAGTGAGCAGCATGAAGACCTGCAGTTTGTCATGACACTGAGGCCATCTATTCCCCTGTATTGCATGCTCAGAGAAATAGGAAGGGGTTTTAGTTTTCTTTAGAGCCTTATGCAAGAAGATTCCTGAGTGCTACAGGTAGAAAACCAGTATCAACCTGTAATAAATATGCCAAAGTGCTAAAAAGAAAAAAATACAGTTGGAGAAATGAGAAATCTGTTTTGAAGATAAGAAAAAGGAAGTCCTCACTGGTGACTGTGGCAGTCATGCCCTTGCTGGGTTAAATGCTTGGGTGTGATGCCAGGCTTCTGATTAAAAAGGTCCCATGGGGCTTATTTGGTCTTTCTTTCCCACTGACAGACCACCACCTGCTAGACCAGGGTCTGTTTATCAGCGGTATATATTTCTGTGCTGCTGTGTACACGGGTACATGCAGTACATATGCAGTAAAGGCTGCTCAGGTCTCGAAGTGAACAGATCCTTGACAGCATGTCTCTTTAAGGGCTTGAATGAATGAAAAGACTACATAATCCTGAAATTTTCCCTCTGTGAGCCAAAGAGCTTGGTCCTGAAAGAAATCAAGCATCTCGTTGCGTTAAGCTCTGACTCCTGTTGCATTCAGTCAAAGCTGAAACAGTCAGCTGTATACAGTCCCAAGATTTGGGAGTTTTCTAAGGGATCCTGGCAGCCTGGTATGAGCTCTGTACTGCTACCTTCCTTGTGAAGGCAGGAGAACAAAAGCAGAGCCTGCTTCTATCCTGTCAGTATATTACTTATACCACAGTATTATTTTAAGTTGCTTCTTAGTGGTGCTGCAGAAAATACCGAAGGGCTTTTTTCCCTTCTGTCCCTGTGAACAGCACATTTATGTAATGCATGTTGGTTCCCTGGGAAACAGCTATAGGATGGAATGCAAAGCTATAGGATGGAGCGGGATTCGCTCTGTTGCTGGCCTGAGCGCCGAAGCTGTGGGTAGCGTTCCACATGGCAGACGTGTGTGGGTGTGAGATACAATAAAAAAAAAAGCAAATCCTGGAGAGTTTAAGAGGTTTGGGTTTTTTTATGTGCTCATTGAAAGTGAGACTACATTTAACATTAGGGAGTCTACTCATTCAAAACGTTTCTTAGGAAATTAGGTAATAACAGCTTAATTTAATTGGAATGGGAATATAGCTGCAATGTCCATGAGAAAGAATTTTTAAGTGCCTGGAATGGAAATGCCAGCATGAAGCTCCTTAATAATTAGCTAGTAATATCAGGGTGTATTCAGGCTATATTACAATCTGTATAATAATGGCACACAATTCATACAGCATGACTGTATATATGTGTGTCTGTACTACACTGGCCTATTTTTTAGTGGGTGGCATTTTCAATTGGGCTTGGATTTTAGGCTTTGTTTTTGAGTTTAAGCTAAGCCACATCTTGACAATGGGCTCTTTACTAATGACTACTTGCAAGCTGCTTTCTGTGATTTAGCCCCAGATTTTGCAAGATTGGCTTCTTTCATGAGATGCTTCCTGTAGTAAGTCAAAAGATCTAGGCAGCACATTTTTGGTCTTTTTTTTTCTGATCTAAACACAAAATTTTGGGATCGAGATTGGGCAGAGGGAATTGGCACGAGGATTTTAGTTCAGTGTGTTAAGCAGGCAAGCGCAGAGAGACTTAAAGTTTATCTTCGCACTTCCTTGGCATTTGCCCTGCTGCATCACACCCAGCCACTTCTTCACTGTGAAATAATGATGCTTCTCCTAAGCTGCAGCTAGCCTTAGGGCTGCTGCAAAAGCAGCTTCTACGGGTCTAGCATATGGAAATCCTGACTGCGCTCACCTTCCTTGTCCCCCCACCAGCAGATAGAGTAGAAGTTCCTGATTCAGCTCAGTTACAGCTGAGGAATCAACCTCATTCCAGTGTGATCATCCCTCCACCTAAATTGTGCTTGCCCACCTCGTGCCAACAACCACATAGACAACTGCATCGAGCCTGACTCCCCCTATCTAAAGTACATGTCAGGGAGTTGGGACTTGCTTTCATTTAAAGTTTAGAAATTATATCTTTTGCCAGCCTACTGGGATAACTACACTCTTATATACTAGCAGTTTCTTAAGAGCTGAACCAGCGTATTATGCTCTGTGCTTGTGAAGGAGGAATTTAATTTTCTTGTTTTATGACTTCTCTTTGTTTACTCATCTTCAATTAAGTATCTAAAACATAGGTCCTCTTTAGCAATCTGCTTCTTGCCCCAGAGAAATACTGCATCTTGGGCAATAATATCATGAAGGTAAAGCTGGACTGCCTTCAGCAGTCTGGACTCCACAGTAAAGCTGACTGCCTTCAGCCATCCAACCATACTTGAAACAGAAAGGCTGAGCTAGGAAAATTAACAGGATTGTACTTGTCATTCTTTTACATATCCCATTGGATATACAGCCAAAGGATGACAGGTGCTTTTTATTGACCACTACAGTTCCTTAACACCTGTTGAAACATCAGATAACTCCTGATAGGAGTCCCAGCATGTACCTTTCCAAATGTGCTGAGATTAACCAGCCTCTTCTGCTCCGCTACTGACTGCTACAGCCATGCTGACTGGTTTATGGCCAGGGCCACTGCTTGCCTAGCCCCCAACGCTGGTAACTCCTGTAGATCCTAGCAGAAGTTGAGGCGATAGAGCACGTTGCAAACTGTGGCCTGTAAAGCTTAACCCAAGACTGGATTTCAGTAAATCCCACAGCTGGTGTCTCTTTCAAGGGGTTTACTGTGAGCAAGTGGCACTTCTCTTATGTCTCTATTCTGCCAAAGTGAAGGGGAGGAGGAGAGAAAAGGGTGGGGGTTTTCCTGTTGAAAATGCAAACATTCGAGGAGAACTGAGGATTGGACTCCTTGGCTTTGTCTGCAAGTGTGCAGACTTCCACTCAAGCTGAGATGACTGCAAGTGGAGGAGTTTCTTGGGGCACTTAGGCTGAAGTCTCCAGCTCACCACTGCCCTGAAAACCCTTCATTGTCATACATGAGGGAAGCACGTCTCTCTCCAAATGCAATGCTCAACATTTTTCAGCAGCAACGTAATTGTTTCACGAGCTGGCAAAAAGATGGAGCTGAATTAAAAAGTCCTAATGGCAGGGAAAATTTTATGGTGAAAGGCTGGTCTGCGTTGTTTGCAGATATTACTAAGAGAGAAATATTCCATGTTCTCCCCTAAGGTTAAACAGTAAAATGAAAAACTGTAAAGTAAGGGTAGGAAAGTTGCCAAAAAGGGGAGGCGTTGAGAGGGAGGAAAGAAAACTTCACCATTTTATAGATGCAGAGCCTTAAATAAAACTCAAAGCTTTCAATCTGCTGAGGCCCACGTGCGGGACCAAGATCTGCCGTGAGAGACGCTATGGTTAAAACAGGAAAGGAAATCTTAATGCCTATGATGTGCTTTCTTTTTGCAGAAAGAACTTTACTTACTACTCACTCAGCTTCAGGAAGCTCATTTTGGCAATAAGTGTAAACCACTTGAATTATTTGTCATAGGGAAGAAAGACTTTGTCACCAGTGCAAGGTGGAAAGGGTACTTACTTACCTCCAGAAAGCACCTTGAGACTGCGCACTGCTTGAAAAGCCACTGCCCCGTTATGAGCATAAAGGTGTGCTCTTACTCCAGGTTTGAGTGAGGCCTCGGCCTCTCACACCGAAGGATAACAATTTCAATAAATGTATGGTATGCCCCCCAAAAGGGTATAGCAGAATTACCTTAAAGTGTGATTATGTGTAGTAACAGAGTTGTCCAAGAGTGGGCTCTCAGTCACCTCGCTTCCATACACGCCAGAATTCAGCCAAGCCGAGCGGGCTCGCCTCTTTTTCTTCTCTTGTTCCTTACGTTTTCCAGGCTTTGCTTTCTTTTTTTTCCCCGATACCTTCAGGGGCTGCTCCTTGTAGGTCTGTGATTTGTTTGTCTCCTGAGTTAGGTATCTGCCCTCATCTTCACTACCAAATCGGACAGGGTAGTTCTTCGTGTTGGTAGCAGGCTTAGGGTTAGGTGAAACCTCCGAAGTTGCACGGATTTCTGCAGTGTTGACACCTTCAATTAAATTTTGAAGGAATATTCTTCTTCGTAAGTCTTGGATTGACTTGCCCTTGTCATGCAATAGCTGGTGCTCTGATACAGCCCGTTTGCTAAAGAAAGAGAAGAGAGGAGGGAGAAGAAAACATTTAAGATTTGGTTATTGCCCTGTACTTGGCAGAGCTCCTCTCCCCTCTGGCAGCGGTGGCCACAGTGACTGTGTACCAGCTCTCAGGCTTGGAGACATCCAGTTAAGTCAGACTGCTGGAGCAAGTCCTGCTTCTCAGGGTAGCGGCTCCCTACAGAGAAGGGAAAGACCTAAGCAAGTAATAATTCTCAGCTGACTGATCACACACCACTGGACCTGGAGTTGGATTAGTCACTGCTCTGTTCTAGGAAAGCACTACAAGTCTTAATATATCCCACTTCAGGCTGGAAAAGCAGGAAGGCAGTTGTCAGAGATAGGAAAACTACAGGGTCAGATAACGGAGCACTGCAGTCCAGCAAGAGAGGGAATAGCAAGTACTTGTACTGAAGCTGGAAGCAGTGTTTATACAGCATCATTCTAATAATTTTCTTCTGCTCAGTCATGCACTTCAAAAACATAAATAAATACATAAAAGTGCATTTCATTTCTAAATTTAAGTAAGTGCAATTGCAGGAGCGTAATGGAAAAATGTTCGAATTTGGGTGCCTAAAATGTAGGCACTTCAGTCCATAATGAGCTATCCAGAGAGGCAGCAGCCCGAGCATCAACAGAAATGAGCCTCAGCCACTCCTGTTGACTTTACCACTTGGCCACTTGTGTCCAATTATGGTTTCAGATGCCTTTCTGGTATTCCTTTAAGCGTGAACTTTTGGGGCCAAATTTCTTGTCTTCTGTGCTGAGTTTTATGCTAGCTTTCTTCACTGGATCTTCTTCAAGAGCATCCTCGTTTGTCTGAGTGGGTCCCTGGTACTTTTCCAGAGTTCGTGACCTTTTGGTTCACTAAGCTCTGTCTTGTTTTTGAGGAACTGGGAGATGGCTAGCTATCTGTCTTTTAGAGATGTTGTACTGGCAAAGAAGGTATGAAACATCTGAGGAAAGAAGATACAAGTGGCACCTGGATAATAAATAACTGTGAGAAAATACATGCCTTTTCCTTGGTGTGGGACAGACGCACAGCTGCACTGTGAACCACAGAAAGAGCGCAAGCTGGGATTTTAGCTATGTTCCCATGAATGCTATAATACAGTTTATCCTTCCAATTGCCCTACTTCAGTGTGCTGCGATTGGCTATATATCCTCTCATCTTGCATCGGGGTACTGCATGTGACTGGATTCTAACTGGCCAAAGAAAATGAATTCACTGCCTTCTCTGCCGTATAATCATTTGGTCAGTTAGCTGGATAAGAAGTTGTTTCTGCATGTGGGTGAAATGGGAGAAGATACATAGCTGTGAGTGAATATTCCTTCCTTCCATCCCATCCCTAATTATGCCACTATGTTACCAGGTTTCAAAATGTGGTGGACAAAGATAGTATGCCAAATGATTAGGAATGTCCTGCAATTTATCTTTCTCAGTCCCTTCAGCCAAACTCTTTAGATTTGTGATTTGATCAACAGTAGAGCTATTTGGCAACTTCAAGTAGCATCCATTTAAGAGCATCTCCTTCACTTTTTGTCTCTGTAGAACTGCACTTTTTGAGTAGTGGATTCGAGTGATAGGCTCAAGTGATACTACATCTCTATTAGTCAGTGTAGAATTCCAACAGCAGCTTTCCCCCATTCCACAGTAAGACTGAAAGATGGCTGTTGTTTTTGCGAACAGTAGGGATACGTGCTCAAAACCAGGCCTAGATGTACTCAGGTTTGTGAGCACACATTTGATCAAACATTGTCTATGTTTTAAGCATCCCAAAACCAGTTCTGAATGACTACAGGCTTTAGGGCAAGTACTTTATGTCCTTCAACTCAGTGTCCCTAAGCAAAAATGCAACGTGATAGTACTGAGCTGAACCCATATTGTTTCATTCTCTTCAGTGCAGCTGTGACCATTAACACAAGCTCAAGATCTCCCCCAGGAGAATTTTTTTGACCAGTGCACTCCCTGAGGCTCTCCAATAGCCATCTCCAACAACCTTCTCATTGAGGTCAGTCTGATTTGCAAATATGCTAATAAAACTAGCACCTTGGGCTCCTCTGAGCGGCATACTTCTGTCCTGCTTGTCAAGCTGTCCATTGTGGCTCATGTTACATTCCTAGTTTCAGTAATTTATTTTCCCAGGATATTTGCATGAGAAATGCAGTTCTCCTTTCACTCTTCTAGTTTATAAAAAGCATACAAAATCTCAGTGCTTTACTGAGTCTAAAACAGTCCGTCTCATGTGATGAGCAAAGCTTTCCTACTGCCTCTCGTAAACTACCAAGGATAATTCCTTTTATCACAGACAACCTAAAGCTGCCTTAATCCTGTAATGTGTATTTGGTCAATTTACCCACTGTGACAAAATCTTGACTCTGTGAAGCCTGTTATTAAAGTCCTCTTGATTGAAAAGCTATTCCATTTTACAGAGCTGAAACCTAAAGATTTGGTTCCAGTACACACAAGGCAGTCAAAGAGCATTACGAGATCTACATCTTGTGCGAGTACGCATTTCCAAAATAATGCAGGGATTGACGTGTGAGAGGATAGTGTGCCAAAGAGGGTGGGTTTCTCTTTAAATGTCTGTATGATATTTAGCATCAAGTCTGGCCCCAAATAACATTCTGCTATTCCAGATGATTGTATAACATTACGTAGTGTTACATTTCACATGACTTTTATTACTCAGCCAGACTTAAGGATTACATTTTGCCTACCTATTTCCTTTGTATGCTCTAGATCAAAAATCTTCTTAAAACAAAGAAGATGTGGTAGATACATATCTCTTTGACCTTCTGCCTCAGTTAGTCAAACAACTCCTGTGTTTGTAAATCAGAGAAAAATACTTGTCCAAGAAGGCTGATGTAAGAAGTGCTTCATAATGGAGATATCAACAATATCTCACCCACGCACATGGAGTAGGAAGGCAATGGAAACCAGAATGATTGCATTCATATACTGGGTACAGTGTGTAAAAAAATATTCGGCTGTTAGGGTCAAGATGACCCACTAGAGGTCCCTTCCATCCTTCTATAAAATGCACCTCTCATTCAAGGAGAAAGAGCCTGACCCCAAATCAAGTGCAGTAAATGCTAAGCTTACATGTGGTAGGCACTTTTGAGAGAAGGAAGTTAATGGTTTGTATTTGACCAGAGTGTCCAAACTAATTACTGTATCCAAGTACACTATGTACATATGAGGCTTAATGTCTCATTATGGGGAAAACGGTAGAAATCCATGACTTGTGACTACTATGACTTCACGTACTTCCAGATAAGCTGTTCTTTTCATGCACATTCCTTCTTCATTTTTTTCACTGGCTATCTAGCGTCACTGAGAAGCAACATTCTTCAAGCGACAACTTTCTGTCTCAGAGTTGCTCTTATTCAACCGTTACTATCCTTGACGATTCGCATTGGGTCTGCTCATAAGTTCAGCAAGATCACTGGAAAGGATTCAGTCAGCTCTCTCTCTGGATTTTGCAAGACAGAGTGCCCTTGCCCCTGGCTCCAAAGGGAGTGAAAGCTGCTCAACCTATCTCAGGGTTAGAAAAAATATTTTGAACAGATCTGGGGACACGATGCTGCAGTGTCTGGGCACGCTGATAAAAATATCTAATTTCACTTTGAGGCATTACTGGGCTTCTCAGAAGTTCTTTAGCTGCTACAGCATTTCTATAACAAATAATATGTCTGGCAATCTTTTCTTGGGACAATTTGCTACTGCTTTCCAAGGGAGATTTGCCTCAGTAAAGTCTGTAGAACCAGGCCTATGTCATTTTGATTATTTTTGCATGGCTATAATAACGTGCTTCAGTATTTTCATCCATTACTGGTTTAAGCCCTTGACTGAAAAAAAATATCTCTAGGCTTAAGTGAGTTATTAACCATTAACTCTAGGAATGGTTTGTGGTGATATTAAAACAGGACACATGTTTGAGTGTGGTGTCTGTGTTTGTGCTGTACCCACAAACAAAACTACGTGAATGCCACTAACTGACAGCTAACTGGTTTCTTGTGTGTGTTTTACATGCCATAGCAAAGAGGGAGCTGAGAAATGCATTTTGACTGTTTAGCTTCCACTTTTTTTTCCCCCCTGTCAGGACGGAATGGGGATGTTGGGAAGACCTCTAACCCCGACCTTTAGAAACAAGTGTTAGAACAACACTAGCTTCAAAAGGAGAAATTTCTTAGAGTATTTCTTAGCAAATCTAACTCTTTAAAAAACAAATTTGGCTTAGATCCCGGTGAGACTTTCTTAGCCAAGTAAATATGGCATTTGACTGTACCTCAACTATTTTCATTTTTTTTATTTCTGAAACTGAAGTTTTGGTTCCCCTCTATCCCAAGAGAAGAAAATGGTCTCAAATGAAAGAAACAGCCCATCAGTAGTTTGCAGGAGTACAAAACAGCTAAGCATTAATGGACTGGGAAGAATACGCTATAGCATTATCAGCAATAACATGTTCTACACAATTTGCTGTAGGAGATTTGTAATAGCTGCCTGGTGCCAAAGTTTAGGTGTGTCTGAAATCACTTCACCTGGGGGATTTTTTTTGTTGCTTAAATGGCAGAGGAAGTGCTATGTGGAGATCTTGTCCTTATGTATGTCATAAAACAGCTACAAGGAAACCCATCTGAAATAAGTTTGCTGTGTCATGTTTCCCTGTAAGTTGTGAATGGATTTTCCAAGCCTCTTTCTCCAACCTGACTTCCTTTTGAACTTAGTAACAATACAGCCCTCCACGGTATGACTGAAGTATTTCTTCCTTAGAAAATCTGATGCAAGTCCAGCAAAAGCCAGTGAGTTAGATGTGTGAGACAGCTGCTCCTACATCAACCCAGCGGCTTCTCTTCTGCACTTTGCATAGGGGATATTAGGATAAACTATGCTGATTATTTTGGAAGGAGCAGAAAGGTCATTTCCTGAACAGGCTCTCCTAAGTTACACTATCATTTATCAAAAAATACACTTCTGCCTCTAAGTCAGATGTTTTTTTTCCTTGCGTCCCCCCCCCCCCCCCCAAGTGGCAGAAATCCAAAGAAATCGCTCAGTACTTCAGCTTCCCGATGGCCCTCGCTACTGCGTGTTTCCCCTACCCTTATCAATATTGGCTCCATGCCAGTGCCGGAGAAGTGTGTGGCACTTCGGGCGCCATACAGCAGTTTGAGAAAAGGGGCTGCTCCCCCGCCAGGACCCTCCCAGCAGGCGGGAAGGTGCGCGGGCAGCAGCGCACGCTGGAGGAGCCCACAGCTGCATCGCTGCTCCCCTCGGAAGAAGAGACCCTCAGCTTCAACATCTCCTTCCCAAAAGCCTTATAAGCTCAGAGAGCTGAAAAGCCGCCTTTCCCTGCCCCACACGCCCTCAGCCCATCGCTTAGACACCACCAGTGAGCACCTGGGGCAGGTAAGGGGAAAAAAAAAAATAAATAAAAAATATATATAAAAAGAGAAACTCACAGTCTGCGGCTGATCCCCTCTACTGATCTCCCGTAAGAGGGCACGGAATAACTCAGCAGAAACACTGCCAAACTCCACTGCTGGAAGAGTTTCGTGAACATTGTATCCTCCGGGTCTTAAAACCTGCAAGGAAAGGGAGATCAGTCCCGAGGGACACATGCGCCAGCGCCGTCCTCAAGCAGTCCCTGCTTTCGGCTCTACCAGCTCCGAGGTTGCGAAGGAAAAACAAACTTTCTGAGCTGCCGGCAGCGGCTCACTTCTTCCAAACTTCGCTCCGTCTCTCTCCCTTCCTTGCTGTCTGCCTCCCCTCCCTCCCTCCCTCCTTCCCTCCCTCCCTCTCTCTCTGTCTCTCGCTGCCCGCAGGCAAGATCTCGCTCAATGTTACTTCGAAAAAATCATCTAGCTCGTATTTGACTCGGGTGAGAGAGCGCGTCCGTTCGTCTCCCGCAGCCCTGCTCGATTCTAGTCCGCTAAGCCGCTCTCTCAGGGCTTCACGGTAGGGGAAAAGCCCCCTTGGCAGATAAGGCAGGGTTCCCAAAAGTCAGCTCAGCTACCCTCGCCTCGGTAAACACAGGCGCGGACACACACACGCGCACACAGATTCAGGCCGGGTGGGGGGGATGCATCTATACGCCTGCCTTTAAGTATACCTCTGGGGAAAAAAAAAAAAAAAAGTCAGGTTCACGTCCTCTGCTTCCTGAAAGTTGGGTCCACAACTGTGGCCGGGAAAGGGAACCGAAGCAAGGAGCGCTGCCTGGCTGGGGAGCCCGAGAGGTCTGCGAGGCGCGGGAGCCCGGGGCGGCTCAGGCGCTGGGAAGCATGCTTGGCTCCGCAGGTTGGACTGGGCTGGAGCCTGCGATGTTCACACGCTCCCAAGCAGCCTCTGGGAGACCTGCGGGAGGACGGAAGGGTTTTGCAAAGAGATGGCGCCCTAGGAACATGTGCGGAGAGAGCGAGAGCCCGGGCGGGACACCCCCGGCCAAAAAGGGGGCTAGAAATCAGCGTTTCCCGGGACTGGAATCCCAAAGGAGGGAAGGAAGGGCAACACCCGACAGCACATGCACTCCGCAGACCCTAAGGACTCCGGCCAAGCTCCTCGCATCTTCTGCGGCCGGGCCCCCCTCTCTCCCTTTACCCCTCTGTCCCCACCTCTCCCTTTTTGTGTTTACCCCTCGGACGGCGCCTCCCCTGCCGGGGCACAGCAGCAAGAGCGATCGCCCCCATCAGGGGGGGCGCTTTTTAGATCAAGCCCAAAAGCCCAGCTTGGGATCGTTGCCGCCTTTCCTTTCACACACCTACCGTTGTTCGTCGCGGT